GGCTTGTTGACAGGTTTGTCATCATGACGATCTCAGCCCCTGAGATGATGCACTTGAGGGGCAAGTGGGGGTCCACCAATCAGAACCCGACCGGGGACGACGGGGCGACGGGGCCCGGGGTACGGATGCCGAGGCTCCAAACATGGGCACCACATGGGGGGCTCGGACGTAGAGTCTCCTCTGGAGTTTCCTCTGAATCTCCCTCCCTTTTCTGTTTAGAAAGTTACTGAGCACAGACGCGCAGGGCAGCTCGTTCTGCGGGGTAGAGCCAGGCTTCCTGACCCCATCTGTCAAGTGGGTCTTTCGCCCTGCTCCACGAAGCCTTGGCATCTCTACCCCCGGGATGACTGTGGTGGTGATGACAAACAGTCATTGATTGAAATGACAAAGCAAGCTGTCGGGACCAGGTGTGCTCACGGCCTCTCTGGTCCACGTGGCTCCATCCCCAGGTGGAAGTCTGGCTGAACCGGGTCCTGGACCGAATGTGCGCCACCCTGCGGCACGAGATCCCGGAAGCCGTGGTGACATACGAGGAGAAGCCGAGGGAGCAGTGGATCTTTGACTACCCCGCGCAGGTCAGGGGCCTGGGTGGACGGCGCTCCCCGGTCCCGGGTTAACCATGGTTCAGCGGAGAACAGCCACCTTACTGGTGTGAACTCTTCCTCCGGACAGAGGGCGATGCCCACATGGGGGCACCTGGGGGACCCCCTCTGTTTTCAGATCGCCCTCACGTGCACCCAGATCTGGTGGACCACCGAGGTGGGCCTGGCGTTTTCGAGGCTGGAGGAAGGATATGAAAACGCCATCAAAGATTACCACAAGAAGCAGGTGCGTGGGCCCATGTCCGCCCGAAGACCTGCCTCCGTGGCCTCAGCTCGTGCAGCTGCCAGTTCTCGGTCACAAGCAGCCACACATTGGCACCCCCCACTACCGCCTGCAAACGATTGTTCTGCCCGAGAGTAACCCCTTTAGAAAAATGTGGCCTTAATTTCTCCTTTTTAGTTTAATTTTTAGAAAGATTCTTGGCTACAAATTAAGAAACTAAAGATAAATGTTTAAAACAAAAGGGGAAGCTGCACAAAACCTCACCACCCAGATAGAACCGCTGTGGACAAATTCTCATCTAACCTTCCAGTCCTTTGTGTGCATATAATTGATTCCTAGGTGAAAAGAAACTATCCACGTGCTTTAAAATCCTGCCTTCACTTGGTCTTCCAGGGCATCAGAATTTCTTCTTCACCATTTTTAGTGGCTCCCTGGTATTCCGTCAGGGCCCTGTTGCACAGCTCTCCCCACCTCCAGCTAGGGGATACCGAGACCCTCTGTGTTTCACGGTTGTGAACAAGAGTGCCAGCGGTCTTCCCTACCCAACCGAGAGCCCCCGGGGGGGACTGCCCAGCCCGGAGGCCACCCTGTGGGCGGTGTCCCAGCCGAGGCGCCTTTGCTTCTGCAGATCAGCCAGCTGAACGCCCTCATCACCCTGCTCATTGGAAACCTCAGCGCCGGGGACAGGATGAAAATCATGACCGTCTGTACCATCGACGTCCACGCCCGGGATGTGGTCGCCAAGATGATCACGGCTAAGGCACGCGCTCCGGGGAGGGGCCGGGAGCCAGGGTCGTTACTGCTGCTTCCTGAGTGGCGGGGAGGGACACTGTTCCTGGCAGCGGCAGCCCCCCTCACCCCACATCATCCCGTAGTCTCACCCCTGGTAAGTGATCAGACCAGCAGCCCGATTAGGAGTGCCCGCTGTTCGGGTGAAGTGGGCGCTGCGGGAGGAGAGGGAGCCGGGGCGCACCCCCGGGGTCAGGTCCAGCCTGGCGGCCAGCGGGCCTTCTCCCTGCAGGTGGAGAGCGCCCAGGCCTTCACCTGGCAGTCCCAGCTGCGGCACCGCTGGGACGAGGAGAGGAGGCACTGCTTCGCCAACATCTGTGACGCCCAGATCCAGTACTCATACGAGTACCTGGGCAACACGCCGCGGCTCGTCATCACCCCGCTCACCGACAGGTGGGCACGCGCCGGCCACCCTCACACCCGCCCTTAACGCAGGGGAGGGAGACCACGCGTCTCCTCGGGGCTCTTCCCCACGAGTCACCTGCTGAGGCTGAAGGGTCCGGGGACCTGGGTTCAGATTCAGCCCTGCCGCCAGCCAGGCACCCGGCCTTGACGACTGAGCTCTTACTCCCATGCTCCAACGCCGGCTGTGTGGCCTTGGGGCTGTTGCTTAGCGTCTCTGAGGGCCTGCGGAGTGGGGACAATGTTTTACAAGTGCCAGGAGCTTGTAGGGGATCAGGTGAATTATTTAAGGAAAAAAAGCACTCAGAGCAGACGCTGCTCAGAGTGAACCCTCAGTGGACATGATGTGACCGTTGTGTGACTGTTGGAGCGGCCTCTGCCCCTGAGGCCTGCTCCTTGGGCCCATCACGGGTCCCTGCCTGCTCCCTTTGGCGCCTCCTTGGGGCACGGCGGGTATCACTGAAGCACAGTGAAAGAGAAAGCCGGCAGCTGTGAGGCTGCCACCCACGAGGTGACCAGGGGTCCCTTGCAGGTGCTACATAACCTTGACCCAGTCCCTCCACCTGATCATGGGTGGAGCCCCCGCTGGCCCCGCTGGGACCGGCAAGACGGAGACCACCAAGGACCTGGGCAGAGCCCTGGGCACCATGGTCTACGTCTTCAACTGCTCCGAGCAAATGGACTACAAGGTAGGTGGGGAGGACCCCAGACAGCCCCTCCCCCAGGAGCCCGCAGCCCCCATCCCCCAAGGGAGCTCTAGGTGTCTGGACACTGCAGGCCGACCCTGGGCGGGAGGTGCCCGCTCCCCAGTTTGCTGATGGCGTCCACCAGACAGGCGGGCTGAGCAGCTGCACCCCCCTGGCGGCCTTGACCTTCCTGGGAGGCTGGGCCTCTTGGGCATGACCAGTGTGTCTGGCAGAGGCCCCCAGGGTGGACAGCCCCAGCCTCAAGCGTCCTGCCCTGCCCTGCCCGTGGAGAATCATCTTGATTGTCCAGCTGGGATCTGGAGTCCCTCCGCCCTGCCTTAGACCACAGCCTCCCCCTTTGCATGCTTGGAAAGAGGCAAGGGCTGAACTTGACACGAACGTGCTTATCCGAGCCCAGGCAAAGCCCCCATCCCAGGGAGGGACCGGGAGCCAAGGGCGTCATGGGGAAAGGATGGGCTCTTCCTGGCACCTGGCCTTGTACAGTGCTAACCCTTCTGGGGGAGCAGACATCCTGCCTTTAGCCTTCCGAGGGCCCCAACCTTCCCGAGCTGACCGCCGGTCCAGGGGCCGTGGATGGGCCTGCGGGTGAGGCTGGCAGGGCCAGGGGAGGCTTCCCCACAGGGTCTCCCATGCACGCTTCTCCCATCTCACCCCTTCTAGTCCTGTGGGAATATCTACAAGGGCCTGGCCCAGACGGGAGCCTGGGGCTGCTTTGATGAGTTTAACCGAATCTCCGTGGAGGTCTTGTCGGTGATTGCCGTGCAGGTGGGAGCCGCGCGGTCTCTGGGGCACGTACGGGGACTCACTGCTCTGCGGGCCCGGGGCTCATCAGCTTCCCTGTAGGGCCGGCCTCCGGGAGTGGGGATGTGGCACAAACCTGACCCCAGCCCTGCCCTCTGGGGACTCGCACCCTGGCTGGGCATGTGGGAGGGAAACAGTCGGACACGGTGGCATATGTGTAACCGAATATAGACCAGGGGTAATTAATCTTGCTTAGGGGACCAGGACAGTGGGTTTTGTTTCGGTGGCCAGTGGAGTTGGGCGTTGAAGGATGCATAGGAGTTTATTAGGGAGCTTGGAAGGAGGGAGGAAATATGCCTGGGTATTTTGGGAACACTCGTGACAGAGTGCAGGACCCACAGTGGGGACAGTGTGGAGCAGGGTTCTCAGATGCAGGGAGCAGCCCACCCCAGCATGACCCCTGCTCCTTAAAGTCACCCGAGTGGGCCCCACCCCACATGTTTTAAGCACAGAGGTTCTTAACTGTTCTGGCGTTGAGAACTGCTGGGCTTTCTCAGGTAAGATGGGCCAACATCTTCGAGGTCCAGTTCGACCTTGATATTCCAAAAGGAAGGGGAAATCGGGTTGCTAATGGCGCTGAGACCCCTCCCTCCGCTCCCACGGTCGATGAGTAAATACAGGCTTCCTGGGGCCGACCTTGTAGACCACAGGTGAGGCAAGGCCGCAGAGCCAGGCTGAACAGCCCCTCTGGTCACACTGAGCAGGCGGGAGGAGCAGAGGAGGGTGTGGGCGTGGTGAGACCAGCCCAGCGGCCACCCAGGACCCGCAGTCTGGGTGCGGAGCCTGATTGAAATTTACCAACTTAAGTGTAGTTCTGCTCTTTATTTAAACTCTCCGTGCCTCCATTCTCTAACCTGTGAAGTGGGTTCACTGGCAGGATTAGCAGTGGATGCGGGTAGCTGGCCTCCTCCCCTGTTGTTTCCCTCCTTAGACACAGACACTGAACTGTCCCTGGGGCCGAGGGCCGGTAAGGCAGAGAGGATGAGGGCGGCCAGTGTCCCCAGACCCATGGGCAGTGCTGACCTCTGCTTTGCGGACCCCTGCTCCCCTACAAGGCGGCACACAGACCCCAGAATATTTACATAGAGCCCAGTTAACTCACAGGGTGGAGCAGGAGCTGGAACAGGTTAGGAGAGACTCCACGTGGAGGAGAGGGGTCCCACCGCTAGCCCAGCCCACCACCCTGCAGCCTGGTCTGGGAGGAAAGTCCAGGCCAGCCAGGCAGCTTTGCTCCAAGGCGGGAGGCACAGGTCAGGTCTTAACCGTGAACATTAGGCGCCCTCCAGTGGTGGCTTGGAGGCTTGCAGCTGCTCAGCAGCCAGGAGGCCCCCACTTTGCTCGTGGCCCCTGCATTCAGATTTGACCCGGTACCGACTTTCTGAAGACCGATGTCGGGGGTGGCTACTAATCAGCCCTCCCACGGGTCGCTGCCAGAGCAGGAATGGGGCACACCAAACGGTGGGGGTGGGGCCCCGCTGGGTAGCGAAGAGGGACAGCCACGACCTGGAGGAACCCCCCCGCCAGGGGGTCTCAGATTAGATACCGTAGGATCCCGCTAGTCACCCTCACGAAAGACGGAATCACGGAAATGGGAACAGATCAGTGGCTGCAGGGGCTCGGGGAGGGCAGGGTGGGGGAGCAGTGGGTGCAGCTCTGTGGAGTGACACCACCTCGAGATCATGGGAGTGCCCGTGGTCTCCGCGTCCTGTCCTGTCTGATTGTGGAGCTTCCCTCCGGCCACCCCGGGGCACGCGGGGTCTCCTCCTCTGCGTCCTTTCCTACAGCTGTGTGTGCATCCACAGTTGTACTGAAATTCAGAGTTTAACTGGGACAGAGATCACAGCCATGCGCTTTAGCCCGTCAAGGCTGGTCATTCCCCCGTGAATGTGTCCCTGTGCCACCTGCTTAGGTGAAGTGTGTCCAAGACGCGATTCGAGCCAAGAAGAAAACGTTTAATTTCCTGGGAGAGATGATTAGCCTCATCCCCACCGTCGGCCTCTTCATCACCATGAACCCTGGCTACGCTGGCCGCACGGAGCTGCCCGAGAACCTAAAGGCCTTGTTCAGGTGTGCGGGTGGGGGCGTCGAGGCGAGGCTGACCCAGAGCAGGTTGAGGGAGAGGAGGAGTCTGGAGACAAGTGCCCAGAGAGAGGGACTGGGCAGCCAGGGCCTCCCTGAGGGCAGACGGCAGCCTTCCCGGTTTCCGACTCCCCGGGGTGGAGGTCCCATTTCAGATGCAACCTGCTAGTCGGTACAAGACAAGGAAGCCTGGGCTCAGGTGACTCAAAGGAGTCGAGTGAAGGGATGCAGGGCCCGGAGACCCCCCTGCAAAGGGTGTAGGAGGAACAAGTGAGGGGGGAGGGGGAAGGGAGGCTGGGAACCGGCTCCGCCCCTAGAACCTTGCCCAGTGATGCTGTGGTCCTCCTGGCCAGTGAGGCGTGCACCCAGGGAGCAAGGGGCAGGTGGGGGTATGGGTGGAAGAGGCGGAGAAGCCAAAGCAGACCCTGCTGACTCCCTCCCAGACCCTGCGCCATGGTGGTCCCTGACTTTGAACTGATATGCGAGATCATGCTGGTGGCTGAGGGTTTTCTTGAGGCCCGCCTCCTGGCCAGGAAGTTCATCACCCTCTACACCTTGTGCAAAGAGCTGCTCTCGAAGCAGGTGGGTGTGACGGTGTCCTGGGCCTGCAGGGCTGGAGGCAGGCAGCCTTGGTCCCAGCCCCCCCAGGCCTGTGCCCACTGCTTGCCCCTGCCGCCCCTCCGCCCAGGATCATTACGACTGGGGCTTGCGTGCCATCAAGTCTGTGTTGGTGGTGGCCGGCTCCCTGAAGAGGGGCGATCCCAGCCGGGCAGAGGCCCAGGTGCTGCTGAGGGCACTCAGGGACTTCAACGTCCCCAAGATCATCACTGACGACCTGCCTGTGTTCATGGGGCTCATTGGAGACCTCTTCCCTGCCCTGGACGTGCCTCGGAAACGGGACCTGAGTTTTGAGAAGGTGGGTACTTGTCCGGGTCACCATGGGCCAGGAAGCCACGCCGGGGCTTCCCTCCTACCAAGGGTGTCTCTTTCCACCACGCATCAGATGGGTAGCCTACGTGGCAGGCACCACACTGGGGTAGTGGCCAAATCTGCCAGCCGGCGGTGGTCACCGAGGCCACAGGCTGCCTCTCCAGCTGTGCTCTCAACACTGGCGGGTCGGGAGAGGAACTGGAGGGGCTTTGGGCGAACCCACACCCCGCACGTCCACGCAGAGCGCGTTCACAGCCCCACAGGCAGGGCCGCTGTTCCCTCCTGAAGGCCCCGCCAGGCCGGTGAGCTCGGCGCCCCCTCCACATGCCGTTCCCACCAGGTCATCAAGCAGAGCATCTTGGAGCTCAAGCTGCAGGCGGAGGACAGCTTCGTGCTGAAGGTGGTGCAGCTGGAGGAGCTGCTGCAGGTGCGGCACTCAGTGTTCGTCATCGGGAACGCGGGCAGCGGCAAGTCGCAGGTGCGTCCTGCCCCGGAGGACACGGGGTCCCCGGTGCATCCTGGGCCTGAGGTGTGTCCTGGCAGGGAAGGGGGCTGTGACGGGCTGGGGGACTGGGCCGGCAGACAAGGAGGTGACCCTGAGTCCCAACAATGAGGCCCTTCTCCTGGGACGTCCTCTTCCCTGCTTCTTCCATCTCGACACTAATCACCCGCCTCTCTGCAGCCTGGCCCTCTCCCACTCTCCTGTCCCCACCCACCATCCTGCTGTCCCCTGTCCCCTGCCATTGCCTGGGCCTGGTGGAGAGCAGAGGGTGGTGGCGGCCAGTGTTACTGTTATCTGTAACACCGGAAAATTCTAAACCAGCCAAGTGTTCAGCTGGACACCCACGGGATGGACCACTGCGCTGTTATTGTTAAAGGTCACTTCCAAAGACTAGTGACGTGGGGGGCACGCACAGCACGTTATTGTGAGAAGGCGGACACTGTCTGAACCCTGTTCTCTTAAAAAGGATGCGTACATGTGTGTACGTCTCCACGTGTATCCGTGTGAAACATCCTTAAAAAGCCCGTCCTCTGGGTGGGGGAATTCAGGGTGGCTTTCTTGCCTTGAATTTCTGTTCTCCAGCAAGCGTATGCCCCTGTGCTTGTGGGGCACTAGTGGGCATTTTCAGCCCTGTTAGTGTTCAGGAATTCTTGGCCGCCCTCCGCTGAGCACAGGTGGGAACGATCACACCGTGCTGGCCGCCCCCCAGGACCAGGCTTGGGGATGCAAGCCCACCTGTGTGCCGCCAGAGCAGTGCAGGCCCCCCGCGGGAGCTCTGCTGTGGGTCATCCGAGGGCCCTGTGCAGGGCTTGGATGGGGGCCGTGGCTGCCCAGCGCCCCCGTCAGTGACCTCCCCAAACCCCGGGGCAGGTCCTCAAGTCCCTGCACAAGACCTACCAGAACCTGAAGAGGAAGCCGGTGGCCGTGGACCTGGACCCGAAGGCCGTCACCTGTGACGAGCTTTTTGGCATCATCAACCCAGCGACCAGGGAATGGAAAGACGGTAACCAATGGGTCTTCTCTAACGGGCCCCAGCGGGGAGGGGTCCCCAGCGGAAGTCCCGGGCCTGGGTCCTCGCCACCCACTTAATTCTGCGCGGTGAACACACGCTGAGACTCTGCCCCGTGCCTGGCCGGCCCGACGGAGACCGTCAGCAGGTCGTGCTGGGCTGAGGGGCCTCCGGACACACACGGTGCGTCATCACGGAGCCGGGGCAGAACAGCGAGCTCACAGGGGGAAGGCTGCTCCGCTCCGCTGGGCGGGAGGAGTCCGGGAAGCTGCGCATCGGCAGACCCGCCCCCAGCAGGGCCGGGGGGAGAGGGGGCCCCCCACCCCAAGATGGGCCCACAGGAGGTGAGCCCAGGAAGGCCGGCCGGAGCCGGGGGCGCTGGGAACAGTGTTTCCCTGGGGAAGGGGCTTGATGAGACTGCGCTTCACGACAAGAACTCGGGGCACTGAAGAGAGGGACGGTGGGGGCCCCAGGGTGGTCCCGGTGGGAGGGGAGGAGGGCACGGGAGAGGGAGGGGAGAGCGGGGGCTGCGCTGCTATGGGCCCCC